ACAATTAGTAGTGTTAGTATATCACTCAGTCTCACTTCGATTGCAAAGACTTTCTTAGTAATTGTATGCCTCAAATAACACAAAATATAAATTTCGTTTTTCATTTTATACAATATTCATGCAATATATGTATCAAAGTTAATACCGTCATGTTAAAAATATATCTTCATTTACCAAAAGGTGGTAAAATTTCGTGTTATTATGAATCAAATTAAATCACATGCTTCATCGCCGATTCCTTTTAGTTTCGAAATAGACAGAAGTAATTTTTTTTAAAAAAAATAATATTATGTACACGTAGCAGGGATTGAAATTGTCATCAATACTGACTTGCAAATTTTCCTTTTCATAACTTTTACTATTTTATAGTCTCAATTTATGTGATATTTGAATTGTGATTTATTTTAATTGAGTGTTTGAATTCATAATAAAATGTTCCTATTAAATACTATTTTTGTGTGTATTTTAAAATGTTTATTAGGTAGTTAAATTAACCGCATAAAATATGACATCTCCTTTAATTATATATATATCAACCTCAATTGGAACATACTTAAGATTTTACGACTTGTTGTGCTATCTTATCTCATCTATTAATGAGCACTTAAGAACAAGTGCAAAAATCTTTCGACAATATAAATTGAAAGTGTTTAATACGTTATCAAGTGCTCAATTAAAATAAATAATATATAATTCAAATATCTAAAATTAAAGAAATTATCGATAAATTTAAAAGACCATTGACGTACAAGCCTACAAAAAATTTTAAAAAATAATTGGGACCATATAATTAATCAAAATTTCAAATCATCACAGCTAAGAGGACTACAAAAATCTAATCAAACTTCGGCATTTAATTTAATCCACAACGTGTTGCCTATAATGTTATATAGGCCTAATGTGACATAATTTTTAACAAGTAAATTGGTCCATATGCTACTTCAAAGTGTTTAATTATCGACCACAAAATTAATCCTTCTACAAAGGTACATTTATTTTTATTTTTTAAAAAGGTACAATATTTGTTAATTTAATTTCTTCTCTGGAATTTCTGCTATTTATTATTATTAATATATTAAAAGAAGTTGAAAAGATCATATATTAATGAGATATTATGATGCGCCTCAAACATGAAGTAGCCCACAACATGCCCCATCTTATATTTATCATCGTACGTAGATTCAGAATTTAAAATTTACAAATTAAAAATTTGATCAAACTAGTTCATAGGTTGTTTTAGTTACTGAATTCATAATTAAAAATATTAAAAATTGCTCCTCTACTGTTCGACGAGGAATGCTTTTACCCTTCGATAGAAAAATGACAGCTTATACCCTTTGCCGCTATAAAAAGTGAGACATTCAGTACTAGTAATAGAGGGTTTTCTCACCGCAAATAGATGAGAAATTCATGTCATAAACAAGATTTTTCCCATCAAAATCAATTCACTAGAAAATACGAAAAAACAGATTCTTACTGAAATAGTGATAAACTTTTAATTTTTTCCGTGTAAAAACACATTATTATTTTTTCTTTTCTCATAAATTCAATCAAAATATGTGTAGAACATGAAATTTAATAGTACTTTATGTGATGATCAATATAATTTCGATTTTTGAATGCTCAATCTTTGTCAATATAATATTCCTGATTATTCAAACCTTAATCAAATAATATATTCATCTATTCTGAATTTACAGTTAGAAGGAATTTAGTTGAAGCATATAATGCAAAGTAGTAAGTAGCTATTTGCTTGTCCTTTAATTTCTTAATATATATAGTTAATATTTGCAAGTATATATGCCTTTACTATCAAAGGACAAGCCGCCCATAATGATGAAATCTTCACGTACACATTAAATATATATTGTTTTCCTCGTTTTAATTTATTTGTCTTATTTTGATTCGATACAACTTAAAAAAAATATATTAAATTTTATAATATTAAATTAAAGATATGTATAAAATCAAATGGCCTTAAATTGTCACATGAATAATTGAAATTAAAGAATTATCAAAAAAAAAAACCATCTTTTTTAGACGAATTAAAAAAAAAGGTAAATAAACTAAAACGGACAAAGTACAAATTTTTTTCTCCCTACTTCTCTATTGTACTTCTACATATACAACACTTCCTGATTAATAGGCTCATGCCTATAAATAAGTGATAATATATATTATGTATTTATTAAATTGATATAAATATGGAAAAATTATATGAAATAGCAAACTATTAAATCAAAATAAATGCTATAACCATATTTTCATTTAATTCTAATTCGTAACAAACACTTTACCATTCGTCTCTTTCCCCAGAAATTTCGTTCGCCACTCTCCCTCGCATCTCACTTTATACAAACATAAATGTATAAATTATGTTTGTGTTTGTATAAATCGAGCGAAAACTATATGTAAAAATACATATCTTTTCGTCCTATACACTTATAATTATACAATACAAATCTTCCCCTGCCTAGTTCTCTTTTGCCCTTTTTTTCTTTCTCACTTTATATAAACACAAATTATACAAAATGCAATGTATAATTTGTGTTTGTATAAAGCGAGAGAGAGATTTGATATACAAATACAACTGTTTTAACTCGATTCAATTGTATACGAATTCAAATGTTGTGCAGATATACAAACACAAAGAACATACACATATACAAATGCAATTTTCATAAACACATACGCCCGATTTATACAAATCACTGCGATTTTTATAAATCAGATGCCTGCGATTTTTGTACAAATTTGATACTCCATAGCAAACTATATTTTCTATGGAGCGAAAATAGCAAACATGTAGCTATAGAGCGCTAATATAATTTTTATATTTGCTAAACCTAAAATTTACTGTATTAAATGTGTGTAAGTTTTCATTGCATGGAAGATATTTTGATCTTGGTTGATCTTCCCAATGGATAAATTACTTCTTTATAATGATAATGTTTGGATTAGGTATTTGTAAAGTTATATAGGTTCAATAGTTTTAGGATTTTTAATATTGAATCTAGTATATTTTAAAATTGTGGAATCATGTCTCTTTTTTTTTGTAATTTTATAGAGTTTTATATATAAATTCATATATCAAAAGTATTGAATTCATATAAATCTGATGTTGATAAATTCGATCCGATCCTATTAATGTATAGATCAATTTACTCATATCTCAATTATTTAATTGGTGATATAACACTAATTATCTAGGTTAGTTTATTAGTTACTTCAGCTATTTAATCATTATTCTGCTTCTTACACTATTATATAGGTATCCTAACGTGGCAAGTTGAAATTTTCATTATGATATTCAAAATATAAAGATGTGAACACATCAAGAAGCTATCAAATTTCAATATTTACTATTTATACATATAAATAGTTTTGATTTTATACATAAAAGATGTAATTTTTTCGGTGACTAGTTTAAATTAGATGAAGAAAAGGTCACCCTATTATTATTACTTTTTTGTAGTACTGGAGGTCGATGATTAGGATAAAATATTAATAGGTACATAGTTGAATATTGTCTAGTTTCTTTATCAATTTGATTATTACTATTTATTATTATTCCTCTACTATCTTATTCTTCAATTTGGTATTACATGTTCTCTCCTTAGCTTCAATTATAATACTATCGGTTGCTACTACATTTCTCTTCTTTGTTATTTTCTGTATGGTTTCTTCATTATTATATTTACTTTTACATACTTGATTTACATTATGTAGTACTTGATTCGAAGGGCTACTGAAAATAACCTTTCAAATTTTTTTCGATAGAAATAAAATTACGTACACATTAAACTCTTCGAACCTTTTCCCAAGATAGGGATAGATTTACACAGGAGCTGGAACATCGAAAAGACAGCTACTTAATAATCAGTGAAGTACTGTTCAAGGTCACATGCACTATAAAATTTTCTGAAGGGAAAAATGACAAATATACCTCGAATTATCGTAAATGGTATGCAGATATCCTCTGTCATACTTTTGGGACATTGGTGCCTTTGTCGTCCAAAAACTAGAGCATATATACCATTTATACTAACGGACATACACGTGTTATAATCTTATCCATCAACCCGACATTTATTAAATATCGGATCGACGGTGCCACGTGCCCCTATTTAGTATTCTGTTAGAGTGAAGGGCATATATGCTCTAATTTTTGGACGGTAGGGGCATCAATGTCCCAAAAATATGACAGAGAGTATTTGTATACTATTTACGATAGTTCGAGGGCATATTTGTCTTTTTTCCCTTTTTTGAAATCTGAACCACATTTCAAAAGAGTTGCTACAAATTAATGAACAAAAAGGTCTAGAGGAACATGTTATGGTTGTTATTCTTTGAGTGCGCATGGTATAAACTTGTTTACATGCAATAGCTTATCAATTATATAAAACACACTACACAAATCTGGTATAACGAGCTCAACTTAAAATGTGTTAGTAGAGAGAATTGAGCTCAACTAATGCTACAACCAAACACTTCAGAAGGCCTCCCAAAAGGTAACGGAGGCGTGCAAAGGTTTCTCAGGCCGGATAGAGATTAATGCTCAAATGCAGGGAGTTTGACTACAAGACCCACCCATCAAACAGAACAAAAATCAACTATAGTTTTCTCAAACAGGGACAAAAGTCGACCTTAGTGATCCAACGGTGCCAGGCTCCACTTTCCAGCCACGCAAATAATCTCAGTACCTTCCTTCTTGAGAAAAACCACATTCTTCATTACAAGCTTTTACATATGCTTATAGAGCTACTCGATTAGCTACGGCAACTGACAAACAAATTTAATTCCAAATGTTATACATGTATCATACTTTTTGTTAATCTGTTCCAAGAAAATGTCATACTTTCATATTTAGAAACAATTAAATAATAGACTTTAAACTTCTCACTTACCCTTAGGATTTATAGCAAGCTCAAGTTTCAAAACTCTTCCTTTCTTTATTAAACTCTCTGCTCAATCAAACACCGGCACATATGTAGTTAAAATAACACAAGAACAGGGGTGCTTCAAATATAGTACTGACATAAATAATATCAGAACCTTTACATTATCAATGACCGATGAGCCAAGTATATTTTCTTCATCTTCTGCAGATGAGATTCTATGCAACAAAACTGGACCAAAGATGACATAGTAACATTTACATGGACACGGGGATATACCTACGGCAAAAAATGGCAATGACTATCCTCCACGAAATCAATGTTTTTAGGTAGTATATGCCCCATAACGGAACCCCAACCAAAACTTTCTAGGACAACAACAACATACCCAGTGAAATCCCACAAGTGGGGTCTGGGAAGAGTAGAGTGTACGCAGACGTTACCCCCGACCTTGTAGATGTAGAGAGGTTTCCAAAGGACCAAAACTTTCTGAGAGCAGTGGAAAAAAATAGAAACAGATGACTTACTGATACTTTGACACCCCTTTTCTTCTACCTGCTTTCAGATCACTTGGGGCAATCGATACAGAATCTACACAGAGTCCACCTTTTGAATGTGTGCAATCGATCTGTTTCATTGAAAATCTAACTTCAGTAGCAGGGTCGGACCTACTCACTATAAATTCACCCACCTTGTACTCTATCCAGTCGCCACGCTTTAGATTTGCATTTGCATCATCTTGATCGCTATCATCTAGGGAGTACTCACTCACTGCATGTTGCCCATCAGATGTAAACAGTTCATATCGAACTGGCCCTAAATCCCATCCATGAGTATGCTCAAAGTTGCAAACACGTCGACCAAGTCTCTTGTAAAATTTCCCAAGGCGAACCCTAAATGTTAGTGTGTATATATCTGGAGGAAATGGGAACTTCACTGACCCGCTTACTTCAAACCACCATACTTGCTGGCAATACGCCACGACATGGAACCTATGGCAGCAGAAATATTAGAAGTCAAAGTCTTAGACATCCTGAACAATATATTCTTGGCTACTTTATTTGAGAAAAAAGCAAATGCACGCTAGCAGTTTCCTAACAGCGCATTATATGTGGACATACAAGAGGTAGTCTAACAAAAGTGAACTAAAAGGAAAAAGGAGGAAAAGCACAGGTCTTTAAATAGTCAGTATTGTCCAATGACTAAGAAGAATAAAAGACAAACTGACCCTCTTTTACCTCCCAATAAGCTAAAGACGGTTAACCAACAGAACAAAGCTTGAAGCCCATGAGTTATCAGATATTCCAAAGAAAAGGTTTAATCTAACCCATTGTCCTTGTGCGGTAATTAGTTGCCTGATAGGATAGATAGCACCATAGCGATAAACACGGCGTGTAATTTTGCAATTTTTATTAACAGATATAGAATAGTGAAGCCTAAATCAATTAAATTTATTAGCAAGAAATCCCAAGGAAATATGTGTTCTTAATTCTGAAACAAATAATCTGGTCTTATACACTATATAGAGTAAGTTTACTGGCCAAGTGGCCGAGTCAGAGAGAAAGAACCACCCGTTCCAATACCATAACCATTATTATCATCATAAATAATCAAGTAGTAACTTTTGCATTAAGCAAGAGAGTAAATTTTGAACTTTTGACCAAAATCCTAATTAGAAATTGGCTACAATAAACTAGTAAGTCCTCTATATATCTTCTTTTTTTTTGAAATAGGTAACTTTGTATTCACACAAAAGAACTCATCAAAATCGATGAGGTGGGATTTACAAACCCCCAGGGGGTGCCATCATACTCAAGTCCAAAATCCCCAGGGGGTGCCATCATACTCAAATCCAAAAAGACAAAACTAACTTTACAATTGGCTTTTAAACTCCACAAGGCTATCTACTTCCCCCACTAAATTTTGCTTACACCAAAAATACAAAAGACTAAGGCATTTCATCTTGATCTCCTCTAGGCTGCTAACCTTTCCTTCAAAACATCTCCCATTCCTTTCCTTCCATAGTGTCCACCATATGCAAGCAGGGATATTTTTCCACCAATCTTCTTTTGATCCTCTCTTTCCGATTCCTTGCCAGTGTGTTAGGACCTCAAAAGTGGTTCTGGGCATTGTCCAGTTAACCCTGAGTATACAAACGAACATGTTCCACAGATCTGTAGCTATCTTGCAATGCAAAAACAAATGACCATTTACTTCAGCCTTCTGTCCGCACATGTAGCACTTTGAACAGATCTGTATACCTCTTCTTTGTAGCACTTCATGGGTGAGACAAGCTCTTCTAATTACCAACCAAGTGAAATATGCAACTTTTAAAGGAACCTTAATTTTCCAGATTAATTTCCAGGGCCAAACTGTTGTCAATGAATGATTAGTATTCCTCTCCCAATAGCATGATTTAACTGTAAAAACCCCTCTGCTATGCAGTCTCCAAACTGGTTTGTCAGGCTCTGTGACAGTGCCTGGAAACAAGTTTAAAGCATGCAGTAGGTCTGCTACTCTTCCAACCTCCCAATCATTTAGAGCCCTTCTGAACATTAGGTCCCAACCTTGAGGGGTCCAATATATATCTTCTTCCTCATGCACAAATAGGAATTTAGAACTTGTACTATCCAGCAAAGGCACACCGACCAAGACAAACTATCCACAAATTTATCCAAATCTTATTACCCCATATTATCAACTGAAAAGTTCATGTGCTATAGTACAGGATTCAAGGCCTCTTCAAAGAGTGAGGAAGAAAAGCATTGTTTTGTAGTCTTCTATTCTACTCTCAACAAGTGGTGGACACGATGCGGGAAGAGAGGATGAGATGGTTCGTGCATGTAAAGTGGAGGAGCATAGATGCCCCAGTAGAAGGTGTCGGAGGTTGGTAGTGGTAAGTATAAGGAGAGGCAGAGGCAGATAGGGGAAGAATTGGGGAGAGGTGATTAGACATGTCATGAGCTCACCGAGGACATGACCTAGAAAGGAAAGCATGGAGATCGAGGAGTAGGGAGTAGGTAGCCGAGCGATTTCTCCCTTTCCTGTGGGAGACCGTGATTCTAGCTTAGAGCACCTTGTCCGCTCCTTGTTCTACTTAAAGGTATCATTATTGTTATCCTACTATTATCTTATTCTTCAATTGTATTACTACTGTTGTTCCTTTTACTTGGGTTATCTTAACTATTTTTGATGTATGTACTTTTATTTTCTACATTATTTATTTATCTTCAATTGTATTACTAGATTTTACTCTTGTATTTGTCAAACTTGTTTTTGAAAACGCTTTTCTTGAGTCGAAGGTCTGTCGGAAATCACCTCTCTACCTCACAGAAAGTAGGGGTAAGGTCTACATACACCTCACCCTCCCCCAGACCCCACTTGTGGGATCACACTGGGTATGTTGTTGTATGTGCATATTCTATTTCCATTGAGAACAAATCTCAAGAATAGCTTCTATGTTTTCCATCTCCAGGATCTTGATTTCAAGAGTTTCGTTCACATTGTAGAGGGAAATAATGAAAAAGTGTGTGCTGAGGATTGCCTTGTCTTCCAAAGATAGTCTTTTTGAGATTGGAATTGCCTGCTGCTCCTCTTCTTAGTTGTTTCTCCATACCCATACTGTCTAAAAACTCTAGCTATTCTTAAGCGAACATAAGCTTCTCACCCTACATCAAACGTAAGTTTCTCACCCTACATGACTGAATGTATGAAGTTCAGGCATATGGCAAGCCAAACTTCAGTTGTTTTTTCTGAAGTTCAAACAAACATGTCTGAAGTTTGCTTGCACAAGCAACATGCCAAACTTCAGAAAAAATTTATAACTTTGGTGACGGATTTTCACAACTTCAGGCGTGTATATCTGAAGCTCATTCAGAAGAGAATAAGCTTACAAAACTTTGTAAACCTAGGCTATACCTTAAATAGAGGACTCAAAATCAGCTATATGTGCACTTGCCCCACCAACAGATCACAGATTGGTCTCAAGGCCAAGCTATCAAAGCTCTTCTTTCAAGCCTTAACACCCAAATTCCATTCCCGCTGCAACCCATTGTCGCCAGACTCCCATATTATCCGATATTCCATTATGGTGTTTTATTTCCAAATTTGAATGTTCTCAGTTAAAAGTTTCAAACTATTTATGATATTAAATGATTGTTGTAGGTTTGATTTTCTTTCATTAACTTTTTGTTCAGGAAGATATAAATTCGCAAAGAAAGATGACAAATGTCCAAGTCAATGTTAGGTTGATCAATCACAGAAGCCAAAATCCTCTAACAAATTACAAATAATCATAACCCCTATTAGTCAACTTCCTTTGCAGCACAAAAATTGTATATTAGAGTAAAAGGAAGACTTGGATTAGAAATTAGCCGGTATAACATACCTCAGTTAATATGCCTTCTGGGGTTCATAATTAGGAAGAACCCAAATTTCTAATCTGTTTCAAATAATGCTACATCATATCATTCCCTTAATTTAGGGAAATGAGTTATCAATTTGTGTTTGTTCAATTATGAAATCATGTTGATTTGTGTTGTTTTACCCAAAAAATTAACTATTTCAAATCTTGCCTAATTCGTTTTCATTTTACCATCCAAGATAGATAAGGGAACTGCAATATGGGTATCCGTACTATCCGTCACTCTACCTGTTTCTTACCCGTTATAAAGTACGGGCAGGTCGGACATTTTATCCATTTTTCTCTAATCCTTTTTCAACCTGCCCATATCTGATCCAACCCGCCCATTTGTGGGAACTAGAAATGATTACCCTCATTGTAAAGAAACTATAGTCAAAGTTACCAGTTCCAAGAAAAAAAAAACTAGAGGTTATTAATCTCAGGCACTGTTTTCACCATATACTGGCAATGAGATCAGAAAAGTTCGACCCAAAGTCGAAACAACCTGTCTGAGGTTCACAAGAGAAAAGAAGATAAACTGAAAGCTAATGCCAAATCGGTACTCTAATCAAGTGATCTTATTAATCAGTTAAGACATTTATTGCATATAGTTTAAACATACTAATCTAACCTTGACTCTTCAGTAGGAAACCAGTTCCAATGTCTTCTGTCTTCTCCACTAGTTATCAACATTGCTTTCGTGGAGATAGACATGCAAATCCTTCCACTAATTCTATCCAACCAAACTTCCTGCAATTTCTCCCCATCGAAAGAAAAGTATATATTAGCAAAACAAAGCATCACCTTATACTTTATCACCACAATTTTTAGCCAGAAAGCAAAAAAGATCCCCACAAACTTCTCATCCTTTCCCCACTAACCAGGTGCCCAGGAAGTCATCTTTTTTGTTTAGTCCGTGATTAAACAAAAAGGAAGTGGACTCTTTCCCAATGAAGTTCACATTATCACTATTTCGAAAGTGAAACAGTTTCCTCTTTGACTATGTTTTCTTCATAAACATTTTTTTGAGCCTATCTGAAACAACCTCTCTACCTCCCAAGGCAGGGGAATAAGGTTTGCGTACACTCTATCCTCCTCATACCACAAGTGGGATAACGCTGGGTATGTTGTTGTTTAACTATAAAAACTTCATAATTCATTATACTTCTTATGTAGTTTCTAAATATGTACTCCATCCGTTTCAATTTGTTTGACTGATAGTGACTTGGCACGAAGTTTAAGAATGTAAAAAGAACTTTTTGAATCTTATGTTCTTAAACTAAAATGCATTTTAATCTTGTTTTTCAACATGTCATGTGGAGAGTTGAAATTAAGGATTTGTTAAAAAAGGAAAGAGATGTTCTTTTTGGAACAGAATAAAAAGAAAAGTAAGACAAGCAAATTGAAAGAGGGAGGAGTAAATTTTAGTTTATAGAAAAGAATAGCACTGGATGTTTGAATTCAACAACTACGCATCGGTCGCAAACAAGAAGTTTGGATCAGCTAGATGAATCCCTACTTCATTTTAAGTTCATTTCATATCAAACAAGTTTGGATCAGCTAGATGAATCCCTACTTCATTTAAGCTCATCTCATATCAAATTCGATGTCTGAATTCACTCAGAAAATTGAATAAGTTGACTCTCATACACTTGAACACTATTCTTTTTGGAATGAAGAGACTTCTAGTTCTAACATAAGTAAATTTAGCACTTTGAAAACTCCCATCTCAACATGAAGCTCTATTTGATTCCGACTTAAATTCAACTCAAAATTCATGCATTTCTTCATCGAAACATAGAGAATATTATCCCAAATAGCAATTCTGATCCAGAAGCTCAAACAATGAAAATATCAGATAAACCCCAAGAATCAATACATACCTTATTGCCGTCATCAAATGGAACAGGACGAGATAAGAAAGCAAAGATGTCTTTTTTGGAAAGACCTTCGTATATTCTCTGAGGCAAAACGTCGAGCAGGTGGTGGTAATTAGACGGAAGCTTAGAATCCCAAACGGAGTCAGAAGATGCAGCTCCACGAAAGGCGTGATTAAGTCTAGCAAGATTACAGATTTCCGGTGGGGTAAGGTACATAAACACACATGCTACACAGTTTTCCGGTATATCGCCGAGACCTGGTCTACCGTTGGCCGTCGATTCGTTCTCCGTTAGGCTGGACAATGATGCGCCCATGCGAAAATTACCTTTTAAGTCCTTCCGATTTTCTGGTGTTGTTGTAGAAGAGAAGAAGGGTAATTTGGTCAATTCATAGATGTCGTCGCCGGCGCCGGTGACTGGAGAAATGGAGTGTTTGGGCAGATATTAATAGGGGGAAGTGAGAAAGAAATTTCTAAATATCCTTTTTCTTATTTTTTGATTTGACAATTTGTAAAGTTGCCTTTTGTAATGTAACAATTTTTATTTTTTTATTTTTTTAAAAAAACATATGTACTCTAATGTTTCATCAATTCAATTTGATTTTAAAGTTTATTAGTTTAATTTATTGATTATTAATTTTTACATATGTTAAATTGTTATAGAATTATTATTGATAAATCGTTATCGATTCAGTTATCGATTTAACAGTTAAGATTTCATTCAACTTTTTTTTTAATCGAAAAATCACGTAGAAACAAAGTGACAAATCAAGATGAATCATGCACATTGGTTGACAAATTGCATTTTGCTTAGAAGCAAACACTACATCTTGTATACTAAGAGTTTGAGACAGATAGAAGTAAGAGTTTAAACAAAATTCTAAGTTAAGATCTCTATATATATTCGAATGATTTATATAAATATAATCTATTAATTTACTATCGGGTTATCAGTTACTGTTAAGAGAAAATTTTAAATCCTTAAGAACTGATAATTTGATATAAAAAAAATCGTTACCAAAATTACTAAATTAAATAACTTTTCTTTTATTCGGATTATTAGTTTCTATTCAGTTTTGAACAACTCTAATCATGGATATTTAGCTAAGCTTATAAGCTCAAAAAGCTTTTTAGTTTATTTGTGTACTTGATAAACACTAGTAAAATATTTGTAAGTCAATTAGTTTATAAGTTACCCTAGGTGGGCCATCTGGGCTTGGGACTTCCATGTTGGAGGTCTAAGTTCAAAACCCCTTGCCAGCAAAAGTAAGGAATTTGCCTTCTGAATCGAGCTCGTCGCACCGAGCTTGTCTAGTGAAGGTTACCTCTCTTGTGTGGTTTGCGGGCTATAGCATAGCAACATGGGTTTTACCATGTACGCACCCAAAGGGTAGCGGCTATGAATTTCCCTTATCATCAAAAAAAAATTAATTAAAAGTTATAAGTGATTGGTTATTTGTAACTTATCGTTTTTCAGTTTATGAGCATTTTTCAAATTCTCAATATTTATATTATTTTTTCTAATTCTCAAAATATATTTTTCAAAATAAAATTCATGTTCCCTTCGTTTCAATTTGTTTGTCTTACTTTTATTTAGTCCGTTTAATAAAAATGTCTCTTTCTTTTTGGACGATTCTTTAATTCAAACTTTTCAAGTGTAATGTTTCAGAGCACAAAATTAAAAAATATTTTAATATATTTTACATATATTTAGCTTAAAATTACACGATTTAAAAATCTTCTTTTTACTATCTAAAATCTCGTTTCAAAATGAAGGGAGTATAGCTTCATTTTCACTCTATACATGTTTCCTCCTTTTCATTACAATGATACTTTTAAATTTAGGCATCTAGCAAAAAAAATTAAAGGTATTTTAATCATTCTAATAAAAGTTACTCTAGGTAATTATTTTTTAATAATTTTAATACTTCTATTCAAATAAATAACTATATATTTATATTTAAAAAATAAATTTCTAATCCAAACAAACTCTAGTTTTCTTTTTAGATTTTTATATTTAGCAGAGTAAGACCAAAAGCCAAATTGGTCATTGCTTACACTTTAAAGGAATTTATTATTATTTTATAGTTGGCTTGCTTTGACCATTGTGAGCATTATTACCTTGATTAAATTGTTTGAAGAATATCTTCAAAATTATGAGCCAGAATTTATATATGTTACATTACATATGGGTCATCGACGGGATGTTAGCGTTATTTAACAACTCTCTTTTAATATTTGATAGTAATAATGTAGCTTTATTTTTTAACTAAATTCACCAAACAAACGTTATATTCAGTTATGATTTCGATCTTGGTCATTCAATCCCTTAACAGAGCTTATTATAGGCAAGACAAGATAATATTGATGTTTCCAAAACTCCTTATTTATTAATGACTAAAGTATGATTATAATTCAATTCTATAATTAAAACTCAAATCTGAGACCTTTAATTAAAAACAAAGAAATAACTTTTGATGCTTGGGCATATCTACTTTGTATTACATGCATTTTAAGTTTTTAACGAGTTAGTGTGAAGTGATAAAACAAGAAAACTACACTAACTTTATTTGGTTAAGAAAATAAAAACATTTAGGTAGATATTAATATATATTCACAATATCTTACTGAAATGAATGACCAATTAATAATCGTACGATGTTACTCTCTCAGTCTCTAATTGCTTGTTCACTTTTAAATCAATACATATATTAAGAAAACAATAATAAGCATATTGAGTTTACAATCCTTATTAATTATGAAGTTGATGAATAAAAAATTTATGATTTCAAGAAGTTCTACCTTTTTCATAATTAATTAATTGAGAATATAATTAGTAAAAAAAATATTCTTTCTTGATTAGTCAAAATGAACAAGTAAAAAAAAATAGACAAATAATTAGAGACTCTTAATCACCCAATTTAGTCTTTATAGTACTACAAGTTATTTTCACAAAGATACGTAAAATTTTATAATGCATCGATAACTGACCCTTTTCATAAATATGTTTTCTTATCACTAGACATGACATATTGTTTATTTGATTTATTGGAATCAAATATTTTCAATGATTTCTGTTGGACTTTATTGAGAATTTTTAACTAGTACGATAATTTGTTGGCCGTGCAAATAAAATTTTACAATGAAAAGTAATAAAAGAAAAATAAAAAGATGAAGATAATTCAGAAATGCTTTTAGAGCTAAAAAGATTTGTCGTTTCTATGTTATCTCACCTTAATTATTCGATTATTTCGAAAATACAATTGAGGTAATCTCATTTACACTATATTAAAAATATATCGATGCCTTAAGCTAATATTTTGGGGGCCGCATGAAATTATGGGTTGCATTATCTTATTGTTCAATTTTTATTTATTTATTATTATTATTATTTAACTTCAGTTATTTTTACAATATTTACTTTGATCGGTGGTATTTTTATAAAATACTATTATAACTTTTGCTCTTCCATTTCTTTCAAAGCATGCTCTGAAAAAATTATCTTCTTGATTAAGTTGACGGTCTAACAAAAACTACCTCTCTAAATTAAACCACAAAACTAAAGGGCAAGATATGTACGTGCATCCAATTTTTTCAGATCTCACATCTAAAACTATACTAAATATATTGCTATTGTATATTTGTATTAAAAAGCCTCTAGTTAATATATCAGTGTGCAAATAAAATTCTACATTAAAGAATATTTTTTAAAAAGTTAAAAGTAATGTAAAGATACTCTTAACGCTATAAAAAAAGAAAATTTCTAAACAAATCATTCTATCTTGACAAAACAAAAGAAGTTAAACGAAGGATATTACACTATATTAAGAGTGTCGGTAATGCCTTTACTCTTTAGCAACATTTTGGGCTCCATACTAATGTCCAAATAGAGAAGAATATATTCCTCTTTCGTACAAATTAATCATTTTGGTTAATTGATTATAATTTCATGACATTGATTTTTATTTTTTAGTGATTGATCCGATATTTTTTAAGATTGAATTTTTTCACTTTTAACAATTTGATATAAATGTTTTGGTGGATAAGTTTTTACGAAGAAAAATATCTAAACTTAAACTTGTTATAATTAAGGTTATGGTATGGTAATTATTGAACTTGAAATTTTTGATACCATAATTTCAGTATTATGATATTTGATATGATGTGTAATATACATTTTAAAATATTTAGTATTTGATATTTATAAGAGCAAATATTGAAAATACCAATTAAAGTACCGAAATATATATATTCATATTATCATATATACAATTTATATTTTATCATTAATTATATACTAACATAATTAGTATAAAACTAATTAGGTAGCCATTGAAATTTTCTTTTTGTGTAATTGATTAATGAAGAGAATTGCTTGTACTTTTTATAAAATTTTCAGCATGTTAGATGTGTAAGTTGAAGTTGAACAAACTATGATTACTAATCGTATCGAAAAATATCAAAACACAGACTTAAAAGAGAAAATAGTCAAATGCCCCGTTAAGCTAAGATCGGATTCTCAACTACACACTTATTCTTCACGGGAGTCCTATCACCTCCCTATACTTTTTAAAATTGAAATTCTTACCCCCCTAAATGCCTACATGGCAAAGTGAGTGTATTGCACTCTCCTTGAGAGAGTGAAGATAAAAAATAAAAAAAAATTTGCTTTTAATATTTTTTCATAAATATATGCTTTTTTTTTTCTTATTTGTTTCTACTTCTAATTTGGCTTCTTCTCCATAGCAACTTAGTAGAGCATCAATGGCCGCCACCAAATTACACCACCTCTCACCATTTTGAAACCCCCCGTCATTATTATATTAATTAATATACCACAAATCGTAAATAATAATTCCATCCCTTTTCTCCACAATCAGAAACTACGGACTCAAAATCTTTAAAAGCAAACAAATTTAAACTTAATACAGTGACACTCAACTGATTTTCTTGAATTAAACATTCAATACAAGAACAATTTTTTATCCTATATTCAATACCCAAAAGACCCACGAAATTTTTTGTATGCACTTGCAATTTTTGGGATTTGAATTTTCTCCGGTTCGAACCTAGTTTCGATCGATGGCGGTTTAAAGATTTTTCTATAAGTTTCAAACAATCAATTCAATGGATAAATTTTATTTCAGCTTCAAATAATACTCCTCAACTGATTTAGCAACTTGTAATTTTCTTGCAAATCTGAAAAAATGTAGTTCATGTTCTTCATCTTCTTTATATGATTGCTACAAAAAATTGATGCAAAACCACCCTAAATCTTCTCCAAATTCCTTTAAATTTTAGATATAAGCTTATCTTAACATTTCGACTCTTTTGATTTATTACCCATTCCAAACGGAGCTCGTCTGTGGTAAGTCAAAATTAGAACTCAAGCTTATAAACTAACTTTAATGGTGGTTTAAAGTTGTGCTTCAAAGTTGCAACCTTTAGCTTTGATTATCAACCATACGAAATTCTTCAAACCA